TTAGTCTAACGTGTTTTTTGACTTTATTTATTCAATGCAGTACAATGACATTGCCCGGGCAGCATATAATAAGTTGAGTGAGGAAGAAATGAGGAAGCGAAGGAGGAGTATTTGAAAGAGAAAGAAGAGTATGAGAAAGAAATGGAACGTCTAGGAAAGCCGATATTGCAAAAAGCACGGGTTCAAATCAAGGTAAATACACGGTATGATTCATCAAACACTTAATGAAACTTATATTAGTCTAATGCATATATCTAAAAAATGGTGTAGAATCAGAAGTACACTATCCGATGCTCGCCAAAGCAGATGTCAAGCTTAGTTTCACGAATCGATGAAACTAAGAAGCAGCAGATTAGAGACATAGGATTTGGAGGGTTGCTAGACATCCAGTGTCATTAGATTCCTAGTGGCATAGCTACCTGGTTTGTTGACAACTTTAATCCGACATTGAGCAGTTTAAATGTACATGGAGATGGTGTGCTACCTTTAACGTCAAAGGATATCAGTTTAATTCTGGGGATCCCGAACGAAGGTCCCGTTCCAGTTGAAGACACCGATACAACCGATGTTGGGGGAACTGGACCAAGTCGTAGGACATACAAATGGAATGAACTCCCAAATGAATTGGTAGCCATGAATGCAGGGGAAGAATTCTTAAGACTATTCGTGGCATTTTCTTGTGGATGTCTATTGGCTCCAACCACTAGAGCCGAGCACAAAATAAAGCTTTGGAACTGTACGCAATTGGTTGATAGGGTAGCCAAATTGAACTGGGCTGAGTATGTGAGGATCGTACTATGCAATAAGGTGCTAGAGGTGCAAAAGAAAAGTGAAAAGCAGTACCAATACGTTGGCGGTTGTATTTTCGTTCTGTTGGTAAGATTAGACAGTTGTAGTCATGATGAAAATATGCTCTAATTGTTACACAGTGCACCAGAGAGTCAATTAGTTTTGCGTGCCTTCATAACTACTGTCTGTATTTTCACATTTTATCGAATTCAGTGCGATGGATTGATTAGATTATGCTCAAATAAATGCGTCTACGATGATGTTTTAACAGTGTGGTCAAGTTTATCTACAGTTGAATTAATTGCTGTATTGTATTGTAGATTCATTATCTTGATCGGGTACAAATACTGAAGCATAAAGTGTCGAGGACTACTCCGCGAGCTAAGGCATGGACAGATGCTCTGATCTCTGAAAGGGATGCACTTGAGATTAAAAATCTTGGAGCTTATGGAAAAGAAAAACTGGTAAAATGTTATATATTGTTGACCTCATTTCATATAAAAGGTAGTGGTCTTTTTATTGCGTGGCTTTACTATTGAAATGGTTGGTTTAATTTGTTGTTAAAGATTGGACAATATGATCCGGAAGATAATGAATATGATGGGCAGAGTACTGAACTACCCCCTGATTTGGTAGGGATGCTGATAAACAGCGGGCACACCAATATCGGTGTAAGTGGTCTGTTCCATGATTTAATGAAATTTATTGTTTGATTAGACGTAATTACTGCATATTGTAAGCAACATTATTGGTTATATTGATAGGCCTATCAACTTCATTCATGTTGTAGTATCATGTTAATATGTGATACCAATCCCAATATTACATCCCTGTCTAGAGAGTTATTAAAAATTAAGTCACATGAATGGAAATACAGAAATATAGTGATCTCTTGGCCAATCATGTTATAAATGTATGAAGTTTCAATGATCCCGGGTGACCATTTTATTTTTTAGTATATGAGTTACAGTTATAGAACCTATGGCCGCAATTCAAATGTTAAATTAAGAACCTTTGCGTAAATGTACTATTGTATATGCCTGTATTGTATTCCATTGTTGAGAGCATGTGGCTCATTTATGGATTGATAATTTCATCATCTAACTGCAGGCTGAGCTAAATGAGCTGTATAACATTGCTGTTAGTAGCCAACCAAAGATATTGCAGATTACAGAAATCCTCTCCTCTCAGCCGACAACAAAAGCTTCCACTTCTGGGCCTGAAGCATTGGACAAAGGAAAAAAACCTGTACAGGAGGACTATACAATGCACAATAGTCCTAATGCCGAAGAAGAGCTGGAATTTCAATCTGCCGAAGAAGGGGCCAACGACGAGGATGATGATGCTGAAGAAATTGATGCGGAAGGGTCTGATGAAGACAAGCATAATGCAGCGCAGGCCGAGAAAGACGATGCCAATACGAGGACAAATATTGAAGGTATCCCAGACCCAGAGCTGAATGAAGATGTAATGGACGTGGAGAATCCAATTCCTACCTCATCAATCGTACCCGATAACATCAGTCGCGGATTGGAACAAGGGACCACCATGACAACAACTGCACAAGGAAGCATTATACAGCGTCAAGAGCAAGAGCAGGAGCAATACAGGTCAAACATCATAGAACCTGCCGAAGAGGGTCAATGTACGGTGCAACCACCTTTGCACGCCAGTGCATCGACGTCACATCTGCTTTAGCAAGAAATACTACGAAGGTTGCGATCATATGGTCGAAAGCGGAAAGGTTGGTATACTGTTATTATTCATAAGGTTCTAATTCAAGTAGTATGACTGTAACATCTATTATCATATACGGTAACTGTGTTTATACCATCATGATGCTACCTACACGGGCCTGAACTCTCGCTTGTCATCATCGAAAACTTGTTAGGCATACTGTCATACCCTGTCCGATGTGAAACACATATGAAGTTGATGTAACAAACATAATTAGGCATATTATGAAAGTATGACTTTATTCATGTTAAGAAGTTAGTGTGTTTCGAAAAATGTTAGTTACATTGCGGTGGAAAAATGTTATAAAATAGTTATTGAAAAGTTACAGTGTGCTTAAAAATTGTTACCAAAAAATTTGGTAACTTATAGATTAAAAATTAGTATGTTTGAAGAATGTTTACAGTGTGCTTGAAGTTTGTCACAAAATAGTTACCTGAAAGTTACAATTTGCTCTATTGAATACAAAACTCCATATTCGCGGATCGTTAGTCATGGAATTTATTTTACATTATTGTACAATAGTTACCGGAAAGTTATACTGTGTTCGAAAGCTGTTACGAAATAGTTAATGGGGAAGATGCTATTTCATAATTAATGCAAAGTCCGTAATTCAAGAATGTTAGTTACGAAGTGTTTGTAACTTGTTACATTAGTGATTATTTAGACGAAAGTTGAATGTTATTGAAGACTGTTAGTCATTATAATTAATAGATAAGTTACAGTTTCCATTAAAACATAACTCCATATTAAATGATTGCTGTTTAAATGTGTGTTTGTAGGTTGATACTCACTTATTTATTGGTCAAAGTGCATTTGAAAACTCTTAGAAATAGTAAATTTAGCATACTGTTATGGTGTGATTGAAGCCTGTTACAAATTAGTTATTGAAAAGTTATAGTGTGTTTGAAAATTTATCACAACTGTTTGAAAAGTGTTAGTTACAGTGTGTTTGAAGAGTCGTACAAATAGTTCTTAGGACAGTTACATTGCATTTGAAAAATAATCGATTGGTGTTTGATGACTGCTAATTGCATTGTGTCTGAAGAATGAAGCAAAGTACCTTATAATTTGTTAGATGACAACAAATGAATGTCAAATGAAATGCATGTTATTTGCCTTTTGTAGGAGGCCTTGACGTTGAGGTGAAGCACAAGTCTACATGTGCAACAAAGAAGAGCACCGTTCTGCGGTCAGCAGAGTTCATTCGACCAGCACCTGTGACAGTTAGCCTATACGAAAAAAATGTGGTTGCATATACATGGGATCCGGACCAAAATCCCAAGTAAGATTCTTGACCAAACTATTAATTCGATCTTGTGATCCATTCACTACAATAAGTACGCGTGTGGTTCATAATAAGATGGCATAGAAAAACAGATTGAATATGGATGAGATTCGAGTTCATATACATTAGTCAGATTTTCGTGTTTTGGAATAGGAGTAATAATTATTAGTAAATCGTTTAATTGTGTCCTGGATGTGATAGGGACATACTTGTTCAAATGTATCAATTTTCGCTGACTCAGCTTGACTTGAAGACACTGGAAAATGGCATGCATGTGTCCAATCGGGTCAGTAGTTCATTACTTTTAGTCAAAAAGTTCGATTATGTATCTATTGATTGGAATAGTCATACGTAAACTCACCCAAGCAACACTCAATTATATGTTTTGATCATCATTTGTCATTAATTAGGTGATTGATATGTTTGCCCATCTCATGAATTGGGGTGGAAGAACTGCCAAAATTAGGAAGCTTGAACGCTACATCGTAGAACCTGTTGCAGTTATGAGTTTGAAATTTGGACTGCATTCTACAGTTGTGTTAAAGTTTTTCATCATCATATCCGAATTGGTATTACGATCCAACACGCCATTATTAATGTCTTCTATGCACCTTTCACTCGGCTATGTTATTGGTTGCAAGAAGGAATTTTTAAAATGGGAAAATTCGACAAGCTCTCTGATGCCAGCTTATCTGCTAAGCTTCTAAAGCTCTTCAAGGTTCACAATAACAATACGGGGGTTGATCCTGCAAATTGTGATTGGGTATGCAATTATCAGTTTTAATCCAAAACTTCTTATGTGACTGTTGAACATTTAAAACATGTGTCAACTCGGTTATGTAGAATGACCTGTCTGACCTTTTTCATACCTCATTTGGCGCAGATACTTGTGCCAGTATGCATAGAGGGGTCTTGGTTTGTCTACAACTTTGGTGTCTCAGAGAAAGAAGTGCACGTGCTAGACCCTGATAGCACTCAAGCAAAGAGCAAAGACATTAGTGTACTGAATCGACTGGTATGTTGGACAAATTGCTAAATGCATTACACGACATGACAGTGACACAATAGTGGATTGTAATCGGTTTTATATAATCTTTGGTGATATAGAAACGTGCACTGGGTTTGGTCGTGGCGGCAAAGTTTGGCAAGGAAATTGACTTCTCCAGTTTCGGATTTTCTGTTGCCGATATCCCTCATCACTCACCCAACAAAGTGTAAATAGTTTGACTTCTCCTGTCATTATTGTTAGAGCGTGTACTAAGTTTTTCGTCCAACATATATACCATAACTGACTAATGAGAAGACAACGTGAACAGGTGTGACAGTGGTGTTTTCGTTATGACATTCCTAGAGCATTGGAGCGGAAGGTTGGCTGTTCGGCTTACAGAGGTATTACAATTGATATCCCTTTTCTCCTTACAATCCATCTGAAATTGATTTAATGCTTGTTACCTCGGCACTCAACTATACTAATACCTACCTCTTGTGCTGATAGGAAAATGTTGGCAAGTATCAAGTGTTGTACACAGCTCGATTGTGTAACTCAGAGGAGAACTCAAAGTTTCCGGACAGCTTCGCAAACCTGCAAGTACCTAAACGGGCGCAGTTGAATGTTGGTAATGCCTGATTTATAAGTATTGATGACTGGGAGAGAAGGAAATTCACAAAATTGCATTTGATGTGCTTTTGTATATTATTACGTGTGTATGACAGCTTTTGGATTGCTGTAACTAATTTTATTTTGGAGTCTACTGAGAAGGACCTTTCTTTTGAGACAGTAGTTTTGTTTTTCTGGAGACATTAGCATCAATACTGATTAGCAATTTGTATCGTGGTGCTGTTTATTTATCATTTGTGGCCATAAATTATGAATTTAATTCAGGTTTTCTGTTGACACTAGAATAATGTTAGTAATAACATTAACGGAGCATTAATTGGTTCAAATGTGTCGTGACTCTATGCTTCAAAGATGCTCGTGGTGACTCTATGCCAATTATACTAGAACCTACCTTGAACAATGTGTAACTATAGAACAAGCGCCCAATTGTAAGGCTATTTGTTCGTTATGCAATTGGATGTAACTTGTCAGTAAATAATTGACATATGAACAAGTCAGTAAATAACGCAACGATTCATTTGTCTGGTTACTCAATAGTTGTGTATCATCACGTCAACTACTGGTACAACTCACGACAAGGTTTGAAGTGTTTTATCTTCAGTGTAATAGAATAGTTGTAATATTCTAAAGTACCACCCTCTGTCAAAGCACACGGTAAAAGTTGCAAAATTGTTGCCTTATGTCTGTGACTTATTTTAATACACGTTATGACACTCGTTGACATGGATTGTGAATTGACATGGTTTAGGGTTTAGACTAGCTTTTGTAGTTCAAAGACTGATACATAGAGCACATATAAAGGTACATATTGTGCATTTCCAGAGCACAACGACCAGACCATATGTGACTAAGACAAATACATAAAATTTGTGAATTGGGATTTTACAATCAAGTCGACACAAAATATTTATCCCTCTCATTTTCAACACATACCCTTTTAATTGTAAGAGTATTTACTATCTGGGTGCTTCTAAAAAATATTGTAATATTCTTCATGAACGGATAATATTACTTATTGGTGAAGGCAGGACCAAATCTACATCGTTTCAACAACCCGAGACATCGTTGGTGCTTAGCCGAACAAATTAACCAACCATAAGTTTATTGTAGTAAGTACCATTACTACATGGGTGTATCACTTCTTTGAAGAAGGTGTAAGCCAGGTGAACTACTTGTACATCAAATATTAAGGCCCAAGGTATCAACACGAATAATTAAAAATTTATATAATTTTTATCAACACTGAAGTGTGTGACATGATAATCAACAGGTGCGCAACGAAGTGCAAACATGGGTATATACACCAAATACTTTAAATTTGACAAGTTATATGCTGAAAATAATAAATGGATTGACCCTCATCCAAAGGGAGAAGAGGCAGGGATGGTTACCCTCTATGACAGTTAATGGCCAAGATTTGGCTAACAAAATTTGTTGGGGTCAGAATTTAACGTGTGCTACTCTTGTAACTGATTACCAACAAGGGGTCACCATGACAACAACTAAACAAGGAAGCATTATACACCTTCAAGAGCAAGAGCAGGAGCAATATAGGTCAAATGTCATAGAACCTGCCGAAAAAGGTCAATCAATGGTGCAACCACCTTTGAACGTCAGTGCATCGACGTATATCTACATGAGCCAGAAATACCACGTAGGTTGCGGTCATATGGTCGAAAGCGGAAAGGTTGGTATAGTTATATTATTCATAAGGTTCTAATTCAAGTAACATGACTGTAACAGTTATATACACACACGGTAACTCTGTTTATACCATCATGCTGCTACCTATATGGGTCTGAATTCTTGCTAGTCATCATCGAAAACTTGTAGGCATACTGTCATAACACACCAATGTTAGCTACATATAAAGCGGACCTGACAAACTGAATTGAGCATAATAATTAAGTATGATTTTATTCCAACCACATCCAGATAAGCCTAATGTCATATTAAGCTAATTGGGAAGTTACAATATGTTTGAAAAACTGTTAGTTACATCGTGTTTGAAGATTGTTACAAAATAGTTATTGGAAAGTTACAGTGTGTAAAAATTATTTTGAAAGTTACAGATTAAAAATTAATACTGATACTCCGTATTTGAAGACTTTGTACAGTGAATTTGTAGTTTGTTACAAAATTAGTTATTGGAAAGTTAAAGTTTGAAAATTAATACAAAACTTTATACATGAAAGCTGGTAGTTGCAAAGTGTTTGTAGGTTGTTACAAAATAATTATTGGGAAGTTACAGTGTGTTCAAAAACTGTTACAAAATAGTTAGTTGGGAAGTTACAGTTTCAAAATTAATACAAAACTTCATATTTGAAAACTGTTAGTTACGATGTGTTTGTACGTTGTTATAAAATAGTTTTTGGGAAGTTATAGTATGTTCGTAGACTGTTACAAAATAGTTAGTTGGGAAGTTGCAGTTTGAAAATTAATATAAAACTCCATATTTGAAAACTGTTAATTATAAGGTGTTTGTAAGTTGTTACAAAATAGTTTTTGAAAAGTTATAGTGTGTTCGTAGACTATTACAAAATAGTTAGTTGGAAAGTTGCAGTTTGAAAATTAATACAAAAGTCCATATTTGAAGTCTATTGGTTACGAAGTGTTTGTAAATTGTTACAAAATAGTTATTGGGAAGTTACAGTATGTTCGAAAACTGTTACAAAACAGTTATTGGGAGCGTATAGTTTGAAAATTAATACAAAACTCCATATTTGAAAATTGTTGGTTACGAAGTGTTTGTAGGTTGTTACAAAATAGTTATTGGGAAGTTGAATGTTATTGAAGACTGTTACAAAATGCTTCATTGGGAAGTTAGAGTGTGAAAATTAATACAAAACTCCATATTTGATGATTGCATGCTACAGTGTGTTTATAGGTTGTTACAAAATAATTATTGTGACAAATGACGGTGTGTTTGAAAACAAAATAGTTATTGGGACAGTTACAGTGTGTTTGGAAATTAATTGATTGGTGTTTTTAGATTATTAGTTACACTGTGTTTGAAAACTGTTACAAAATGCTGTACAATTTGTTACACAACAACAAATAAATTGCATTTGAAATGCATGTTCTTTGCTTTTTAGGAGGCCCTGATGTTGAGATAAAGCATAAGTCTACACGTGCAACAAAGAAGAGCATCGTTCTGCGGTCAGCGGAATATATTCTACCAGCACCTGTGACAGTAAGCTTGTATGACAAAAATATGGCTGCATATGCATTGGACCCTGACAAAAATTTCAAGTAAGATTCTTGACAAAACTATTAATTCAACCTTGTGAGCCATTCACTTCGATAAGTACGCTTGTGGTTCATTATAAGATAGCCCAGGAAAACAGTATGAAAATGGATGAGAATTGACTTCATTATTACATGTCCATTTTTTGGAGTACGAGTGTTAATTATTAGTAAATTGTTCAATTGTGGCCCAGATCTGATAGGGACATACTTATTCAAATGTTTCAATTCTCGCTGACATGACTTGACTTGAAGACACTCGAAAATGGCATGCATGTGTTGAATCGGGTCAGTAGTTTATTACATTTATTCAAAAAGTTTGATTATCAATTTATTTATTGGATTAGTGATACGTAAATCCAATTGTAACAGTCAATTACATGTTTTGGAAACTATTGGATATTGATTAGGTGATTGACATGTTTAGTCGTCTCATGAATTAGGGTGGAAGAACTGCAACAAGTAGGAAGCTGGAACGCTACATCGTTGAACCTCTAGCAGTTGTGAGTTTGAAATTTGGACTGCATCCTATTATGTGCTAAATTTTTTTAGCATCATATTTAAATTGGTATTACGAACCAACACACTATTATTGTCGTCTTCTACACTACTCCCACTCGACCCAAACACATAACCTAACAAATTGGTAGTTACTTGCAAAATTTGTATTAATTACCATAAAAGTACACCCAAAAAAATCTATTCATTATGTGTACTTCGGGTTTTGTGTTTGTTTTCAAAAAACATGTTACTTATTCTATACTTACTAATTCTCCAAAATTATGTTACTAGCTTATATCGTTTCTTGCCACATATTAACTCCCACCTATGTGTTGGTCCGTGTTAGCTCCTGATCGACACACAACCACTACTTCAACAGAAGGTTAAAACACAAAAGCTTATGTGGCTCAAAAGGAGTTTTAGATCGTTCAACTGTCTTCATCGAGCAATTTTGGTGGCGGATCTACTGAGTTAAGGTACCAATATCGGTACTGTCACTACGGAAAAAGGGTTGGGCTGAAGATCGTGGAGTCACAGAAACCAACGAAGGGGTTGCTGTACTTCGTCTGTGAAGGAAAAACTTGTGCTTTTTTCGCTTGGTGTCATCCAATAGGGAGGAATCATGAGCAAGTTCAGGTTAACTACTGCCCTCCCTCACCTAATCGACAAGCAATAAGTAGAGAAAGCTCCTACGACAGTCCCGGAACAGTGCAAAATGAACCAAACTCTTTCCCGTATCATGTGCACCGAATCGAACTAGATATTCGACAAATGAAAACCTTCATGACGATATCGGTAGCGGTCGCCTTTCTGTTGCTCCTAATAGCAATTTTTCGCTGACAGCACTTTCAATTTTTCGACCCATATGATATGAACTTTGCCTGTAGTTTGTCGGAGATGTATCCTCTATAGGCAAAGTTACACTGAGGTCCTTGTACTGTTGACTTTCCATTTGGCAGTTGATCTAGAAGATAGAGTAAATAGTATATGCAGTCGTATAGTTGAATGAAACTGGTGAAATCACATTGAAAGTTTTTTGTGAAGTTATATGATTGCTCTTTTATCTGAAATCACCTGTGTTGTTCAATTGTTTTGTGTTAATGACTCCAACTAATTGAAACTATTAATTGTTTAATGATGCACAAATA